TGTAATTGCAGGTTAAATGCATTCATGTCTTGCATTAAACAAAATACATGTGTGTAAATACATCTAAATGCCACTTCAGATGCAGCTTCTGTGTTGATTTATTTTGCTTGGTAACAGCCCAAATGTCTTATTATTCTAATTCCCTGATTAAACGTAAAAATGACTCAAAAGATAATGGACACTTTTAGAAAAAAATAGCTTTATAAAAAGGTAAAAATGCCCATAAAATGCAAAAATCAGTTATTGGAAAAGATTCATTTCTATCAGTATGTATTGACCGCCACACAGAATATGAAGAATATTAAAAACATTAGGAGTCAGCTGTCTTCGGCAGTCCTTAAGGTACCAGCACAATAACACACTCAGCAAAATATCGTCTAATTATCGTTATCGATAAAATCCCAGAAAATATCGAGATATAATTTTTTGTCAATAATCGCACACCTCTAGCTTGTACTCATTTTTTGTTTAACTGTGAATTTTTTAATACAGGATCGGAATGGCATGAGGGGAACAAACAATGACACCATTTCCAATTTTTGGAAGAGCTATTCCTTAAGGCCACTGAACTGCCTCAGTTCAAACATTAAAGACGCTCGAGGAAACAGGGATGTCTTGACGCAGCACCCCTGGAGAAACAGGTCAGGCTGAGTGACTTGCTCAAGGGCACAACAACAGTGAGCGGGGACGTTAAAATGTCGACAGTCTGGTGCTTTCCCCAAGTTAAGCTTACATGCCCTCTGGTTACTGATGAGAAGCATTGATCACTGCCAGCGCAGGTTTGGTTGTAGGCTACAACAGGTTTACTCCCATAAAATAATGTAAAGGTGATATGTACGCACTCAGAGACAGTTTAAAGTTAATTCACCACATAAAAACAAAGCACTTGCTACTCACCTCGCAGCTGAACTCCAAGTCTGCATCCATTGTAACAACTGTGACACTGAAGGTTTTGGCTTGTTTCCTCCGAAGCGAGTTGAGACCCATTTTTGATGCAAGGACACTTGCCATAATAGCCGCTGATGGGAAACCTTCCTCCTCGAAACAACATAAACCTGTCTACTAAACTCTCTGTCTGAAGCATAGAAGTTGAACTCTGGTTAAAAGCTACACTTTAGCATTACTAGCCAATGTAACATCTCTAAAGGCAGGACGTTGTCAAACCACCTGCGTTAACTGGTAACTAGTAGTTGGACACATATTATCCCTATTTACTTCCTTTAAAGCTTCATTAAGCCTGTAAGAAGATAAAGGGGAAAGACAAGAGCACAAGTTTATTAGCTAGTAAATGAGTACATGTACAATAACAACAGAAGCTGCTTTGAAACTACTATAAGCGTTAATACCTATTAAGTGACAGATATCTGATAACAAACATAAACCTATTACGTAACACTTAAGTATACATTCCTGTAGCAAAATACGAACTTTTACACGACTTCACAACATTTGAAGTGCTCGTATACGCTTGTTTGGGCTAATCTACGGTTTCACGCCTCATTGTTTTTTTTTTGGTGTGAGGTATTTTTGCCGGAATTGGCCTGACAGCTTGTAAACTGGTTGCTAACTCACCTGTCGAGCTGTAAAAACAGCTGATATCCCGCAGTGTGTGTGATTCACGTCCGCTTATTAAACACCTGACACACAAACACAGCTGCTGGGTTGACTCTCACTCTTTCAGGCCGAAAAACAAAACTGCAGCTGAAACTTCGCGTGCGCCTGAACGAGGAGGCGGGAGGACATGCGCAATAGCGCGCGCCATTCAGCTAGAGTTAAAAGCCTGTTTTTGTTTGTTTGTTTGTTGTTTTTGTTTTTTGTCAGGGATAAGACAAATAAATAAATTTATAAATAAATACATACATACATACATACATACATACACCCCTGCCACTATTTCCGAAATGTAAAACAAAAGCCCCGTTCACACCAAGAACGATAACTATAAAGATAACGATATCAGCGTCCACACCAGCGAACGATATCGTCTCTTTATTCTAAGCGCACATGTGTCTGCCGCTTTAAATGCTTGCGCTCGTTACAGCAGGATGGATTCTGATTGGCTGTCAGTGTTTTATCGTTCATCAGCTGGAAAAAAATCGGTTTGAAAGTGATCACAACGATATCGTTCCTCTGTATCGTTATCGTTATAGTTGTGAACTATGCTATTCTTTAATATTGAGAACGATTTTTAGAACTATATCTTTATCGTTATCTTTATAGTTATCGCGCTTGGTGTGAAGACGCAGCAAATTTTAAAGTACTGAACATTTTGCAAATGTAAAAAAAAGATACATCACTTGTACATTTGTTTTATGTTTTTTAATAACATAAAACGATTATTACTTTTTAAAAAGTTTGCAGATTATGCATTTATTACTTTTAATTGTTGTTTAAATAATTGTTATTAATTATAATTTATTAGGTTAAATGTAATTTATTTAGACTGAAGCATATATATATATATATATATATATATTTTTTTTTTTTTTTTTT